ATTATTAGTGACATTGCAGTGCTCAAGAACAATTCTGTGGATTAGCATGGGTCCCCTTCCATGCAAGTCACTAAGACCATTTATAGGACGTGGGGAAGCTAGTCCAATAGCAGAGCCCATTGTTGCAGTATTGTTGTTCCACACACAGTTTATGTATTGAACATAAATACTTTCATCGTTAAAAACCTTCAAATAAGAACTAGTTCCATGATGTGACACTCCTCCACCTAATACTGCTTTATTGCCGTCAAACGTGCAATCTTCATGTTTTATTTGGTTTGGAAGTAACTGCTGCTTGTCACTTGTAGCAAGTGTACCACTCCTAATAGCCCCTCCAGCAAAATCTGCTTTGTTATTTTTAAATATGCACCTTGTAACTTCCAGTGTGTTGTTTTGTACTTCATCTTGATATTCAATGAAAATCCCACCTCCCCAAAGAGCATGGTTGTCTGCGAAGTTACAAAGACTTATCTCAATGAAATTATTTTCTGCAGCACCCTTCACAAAAATTGACACCCCTCCTCCTCTTCCAAAGGGAAAATGATGATCTCCATATGGATTTTCAACCGCTGCTGTTATGCTCTGTTTAGGAGCATGATTGTTTTTAAATGTGCAATTAGTGATAAAGAAGGTGTTGTTACTGTCAAAGTCAGCCAAAAAAGATGAATTTTGATCAAATGGAAATTCTCCCCCTCTGTACGTAAACTCCATGTAAATGCCACCACCAGCACGTGCAACATTTGTCGAAGTGAAGCTTTCATTGTGACCATTACCTTCAAATCTGGAGTGAGATATCTTCACACCTCCTACGTCATACATATTTATTCCTATCCCAGAACTGTTGATTATCCAGCAACTTTCGATGACAACGTTCTTGCAGTATACAAAAAAGACAGCCGAGTGAAACTGAATGTGAGCATTTAATTGTGCAAACGCATCACCAGCCGTGCTGTTGTGCAAGCCACCGCATCCATGAAGCAATATTCCACTGAGCCTGATGTTTTCGCTCCGTTCAAATGACAAGCTGCCATTACGATGACAGTCAACCTTCACAAAGCTCGACTCTCCATTTCCAGCTAAGGAAATATTTGTCTTGTTGATAAAGTGAAAATGTTCAGTTAGGTTATATGGATAATACCCAGACTGCAGCGATACATTTCCGCTGAACGAAGAATTCTCGACGTATCTTAGAGCATAGTCGAGAGTTCGACATGGAACCGTTTTTTCATGTAAACACGAGGTGTTATCCTTACCACTTTCTTGGGAAACTACGATGGTTGTCGTCGCTTCTGGACGGAGCAACAAGAAAGGAGCCACGAACAACATTTTGAGACTGAAGGACAAGAACGAAAAAGAAAGTGGAACCATTGTGGAAACACTACACATGATGACAGAACCACTGTACTCATCGCGCGTATTCTGGGAAATCAGGGAACTAGACTATATCCTACTGAATCTGCCTCGTACCCAGGCCAGTTGGCGCTATCCGAGCAACCACCACCATTAACCACCACTATCGCCGAGGACGACTATCAGCATTAATCCCCTTGGAATTGTTACTCAGCTGGCCCGGGTTGCTCGAAGGATTGTTTATTGCTAACCAGCGTTAAATACCATGGAAACCTATACATTTTGATACCTCTTAACCAACGGTTAGCGGGGGGTTAGCGCTAACCAGGCTTCGAGCAACCGGCAAACTTTGCTCTGTTATTGCGTTCGAGAAAGGGGAATGCCTACTATTCGTGTACCGTACACGAAGTAGTAACCGTTCTGTATGCGATTTCACGGTTTGGACACAATCTTGGACCGGCCTCGCCTAGCACACTTTGCCTCGATCTCATGTGTTCAGTTGTTCTCGCCCTGGAGCTGGTATCTATTTTGTGACACTCGTTCACAGATGGAACTGTGGCGTTTTTCAGCGGCAGATTTTCTGTTTACCATGCACAGGTTTGTTTACATTGGAAAATTTCCATTCAAAGATAATCGGATATGTAAATATAATGTATGTTAATTTGCACACTGTATTTGTTTTTATGGATGCAAGCAAGAGAGAATGATCATTCTCTCCTAATGCAAGCAAGATCAGCTTAGATCGATCATATTTGATTCTATTACAAATTGCATCTTTTCGCTTTTAAAAGCTATTTACAGCGTTGTATTTGCTTTTGTTTCTCAACATTTATGAAAAACGTACATGGTGCGTTGTATTTTGAAAACAGAGCTAAGTAGGTGAGTCGTGTTAGCCTAGTTTCACACTACAAGGGTTTAAAGTGATACACGAAGCTGAAACGTTTAAGAATAGATAAATAATTTTCTGCTAACTTGAAAACCTACCGTTATACATATAAGATGAAAACGTTTTTATACTTGAGTAAACTAAATGAGATGTTAAAAAAATCTCTTCGCACGTAATTTTTGCGTCCAGTAAGATACACGTCCAATAAATGTGCGACTACAGTTTTGGGTTTTTTCAATAATGAAACAAACTGTTAACTTGAAAATCTGCATCTGAAGGACAAAGAATGGCAAGAAGTGTATTGTAATCTTTTTGAAACAGGCTTTAGTAAAACGTTTCTTGTGCACATTTTCTTCTACTTGACAATGGTCTCTGTCATCCTATGGAGACGTTCATTTTGGCTTAAAGACATCTTTAAAACCGGAACTGATTTGGGAACACACTGGTTGTTTACCGGGAAATCCGGTTGGAAAGTAGTGGAACACGACGTTTTGGGTCTTCCCAACAGAAAATTTCCGGGCGCAACGGAACATCTGAAAAAGGTAGTCCTTTTTTTTTCCGGACGGAAAATTACAAACGGAAATTCGTGTTCCAAAGCCATTCTCAGGTAAATGGAACTGATTTGAACAAATGGTAAACGAGATTCCGGGACGAAATTTACCAGTCCCGAACTTTTCAAACCATTTATCCAAACCGTGAACCGACCCGCAGTTTGCCCGAAGCAAGTGGGTTGTTTACCCAAGTTCCCAGAAAATCTGTTTGGAAAGTAAAGTCGACAGTAAAAGGAATTCGGATTTTTCCGGCTGGTTCCGGTGGAACATTTTCTGGAGCAAGAGATTTCTGAAAAGGTGGTCCTGTTTTTCCAGACAGAATATTCCAATCGGGAATTCGTGTTCCCAGCTTGAAAGTTGCTTGAAAGCCATGTTTGATACCACGCAGGCTACCAGTTTTAGGCTTTCGCGGCCGTTTTTCGTTGAATGGAACTGATTTGGGCAAATGGTAAACGCGATTCCGAGGCGAAATTTACCAGTATTAAATTTTGCCTCACAAATTAGATCAAATTACCGAAACCGTGAACCGACCGGTTTGCCCGTGTAAATATGTAAATGGTAAACGACCACTCATTTAAAGAGGCCTTCTTATTTGGGGTGGGGGGGGGGGGGGGGGGTTGTTGTCCCCTTACCCGTATTTAAAAAAAAAGGGGGGTTGCGGGATTTAAAAGGGACAACATGCCCCCTCGCACCTATTCTTTTTTTGCTTTTCCTCCTCCCTGGCCTCTTTTCACTCCTACTTCCTTACCCCTTTCGGTGTTTTTTGTGTCCCCTCCTCTCACCACTCCCTTTGTAACCCTTTGATACACACAGACAGTTGGGGTTGACAGTATACTAAAGCAGAGGGAGGGCGAGGGTGGATAGAGGGGGTGGCGTGGGGGGTGGGGGGGGGGGGGGGGGGGTTGGTATGTATGTCCGTAGCCTGAATTTAAAAAAAAAGGTCGATTCGCGAATTGAAAAGGGAGAACATGTCGCTCTGTCACTATTGTATTTGTGATTTTCCTCGTCGCTGTCGCAGTTTCAATCCATCTTCATGTCGCTTGTCGGAATTTATTGTAACCCTAACATGAAAACGACATTTTTTAAAGCTTTATGAAGCAACTCCGGAAGAGGACGAAGAGATCTGGGTACGAGATTCCGAGGGGCGCGCAACGAATCCCCACTTATCCTGCATTGCGTGATTTGCCCTGCGATTTACAACCTAAAAATTAGTATTGTACCCATTTATTCTAGACAATCCAATTGTTTCATCAATTTATTGATCACTTCATTATCAAAATATTCAAATACACATCCTTATCATTTCACTTGAAATAAAATATCCGCGAGTAAAAAATTCATATTTACAATTGAAAGAAGGTATTTCTACAGAAGAATATAATATTTGCTTGTAAATCATAGTCTATAAATTTAACCAGAGCAGCAGAGAGCTTTTCTAAGAAACCAAAACATAGCCAACCTTCAACCTAGCGACTCCCCTTGCTACAGTCACAACATTTTAATCATTCTGACAGCTTCTTTGACGAAGTTTATCTCTGTCAGCCTCCGAGGAAAAAGGCAATTGGCTTTTGCATATACCGAAGTTTTACTTCATTGTATACATATACTTACGTATCTGTCTATGAATATATTGATGATCGAAATAATTGCAGATTAAAGACGCCTTTCAAGCCGAGTGTCTACTGATAAAGGAATACCAGTATACAGCTAATTGGAGAAAGGTTGTTGGAAAAAAATGTGCACTCGACAATCCCTGAAAGGTAATATGGGATATGATCAATACGCTGTTCCTGACACTGTAGCTGTCGAACCTACTTTTGTTGCTTTCCTTTAGCACTCGCAAACATACTCCCATGGCCTCTCCTGCCATTCTTTCAAATTTCTTTGAAGAACCGTGAACTTAAAACCACCCACAATACCTTTTGGGATTGTCGCGTGCACTTTTTCCGACAACCTTTCTCGAAATAGCTGTTAACTGATTAAGGAAAATGAGCAGCTTCAACTGCACCCCCTCCCTTCCCCCCCCCCCCCCCCCCCCCCCCAGATGATCTTTTATCTCATACAACTGAGAGACTGTCTTCACCTGCGCCCCCTTCGTATCCCCCACCCCCCCCCCCCCCCTCCCCCATTCATTCTGGAGGCATTCACATTATTGGTATGTGTTACTTTAACAAATACAATAAAGATCTGAGATAAATAACGTTGAATTATTTCTAACGTGGTCGTCCAAGGACAGATTTTTTCAGTATGTTACTGTTGCTGTCACTCATACCAACTTGGTCATTAGACTCTGCATTAGCATAATTCGCATGCTGCATCGCCGGCTCGTGTTCGTCTGTTGTAACATGAACGAATCCCTTGGTGTTATCCTTAGACTCAGCCTCGTATGGTGACATCATAGCAAATCTGTCAAGTTCCGCGTCATTCATGGGGCCCCCCATGTCAACATTACTCCCCAAACCCATATCCCCTCCCATGTTATCCATGGGGCTTCCCATACTATTCGAAATCCCATATTGCCCGTTCTGTATGGTACTTTCCATTCCACCTCCATTCATAACCACTCCGTAGTCTCCTCCACTCGGCATCATACTCCCCACCTGTGTCATTTCTCCAGCGGCAGCAGAATTCAGGTCGACAGCAGGAACTGGTGAACCGGCTTCTGGTTTGGAATCCTCAACCGGATTTGGTTTCTCGCTGTCTTGTTGCTCTTCATCCATGTTACTGTTTTCCCCAGTGGATTTCTTCAGAACAAAGTTCAGTTCCGCTGCATCCCTGTCAGTGACGGTAATTTCCTTAGTTTGAGGTTCATATCCCCGAGCGGTGGCGGTGACCTTGTAGCCCCCTGGGAGCAGAAGTCTCCAATAATCACCGTCTTTAGCTGTGATGACTTCTTTTCTGCGGTTATCAACATGGATAGCAGCACCAGGAATTGGAGAACCCTGGCTGTCTTTTACAAAACCCTTTACTCCTTTATGGACCTAGGTAAATATAACAAAAAGCAAGAATGTTAAACTCAACTCTCCCTCGGAAGAAGCCTCATCGGAGAACATAGCATTTTTGCAGTTTATAGCGGACCTGTTTTTGTTGTCATTTTTTATTTCAAATATGAAGCTTCACAGCAATGCTTTACTGGTCTTCCCTGTCGAAGAACTTGCACATCGCCCTCTTGCAAAAAGAAGTACAGTATGTTGTCCTTGGTCCGGCCGGTTTCACTTTGTGGTGTAATTTTCGGGAAGAAAATAAGGTTACAATACAAACGAAACTTTCTGAGTTTTCCCGGTGTTAGCGAAGGCGGAAAAATCAAGTTGACGCCAACGAACGGTGAATTTTGTTCCGTTATCTTAAGTTTTTTTTTTCAAGGTGCCTTAAATTACTTGGATATAGTTTGAATTCAGTTATATGCGATTAAGTGCGTTAAGGAAGCTAAGTTTTGGTGTACAAGAAATGTTCTTTCGACTTGCAAAAAAAAATTTGGTCGACAAGTTGAATTTTAAAACCAAATTTATAGGTAATATTCTAAAGTAAATTTTGTTAAAATTGGTCTCCTTGCTGTAATTATATCCTCCCCTGATGTAAAAGTAGCCTGTCTGATCAATAAGTCATCCAAACGTTTTAGTGCATGTTCGTCGCACGTTATTTTCCGAAGTGCTCTAAATGTCTTCGGTTCCTGTCTAGCTATATATCTTAACCGTATTCAGTATATTGCATCTGAACTATTTTTTACTTTCGCAAAGACTTGCGAAGATATTGACAAGAGTTTTTGCTGATAACTTTTTAACCATAAATGGAAAGTAGAGCCCCAGTCTAAAAACGAAATCGCCGAAATCATAAACGATCCAGATTGAAGTGACTATCCAATTTTCTGTTAAGGTAAACTGTTTAAAACTAACTCATTGTTTTTTAAGCCATGAAATTAAAGGTATTTTAAATACTTACCTGATCAATGTAAGCGATCAGCGCTCTTTTGTTTTCTTCCCAGGCTTTAGGAAGTTCAGCGGCCTCTGGGAATTTTTTACATCCCTGCTCTATAGTAACCTCGAAACAATTGGAGTTCACATAGTTATAATCCTGCATCCCTCCTGACACGCTGTACCAAGCAGCACCATTTGTTACTCCATCGTCAAAGTGATCCGGGGGGACCTCAGGACACGGCCATGGTGGGTTTTTGAGGTGCATGGTTGGGTGTGCCATAGAATAACTTTTGGCCAGCTCCTTAAAGACGTCATCATCAGGAGATTTGCTGTATTCGTTTTTGCCATTCGGAGCGTCGTCAAAGGGGTAATTTGCTACCAAAGAACCCCCATGTAGGTTTGCACTGAGCACAAAAGGATAGTCATGAATCCACTTCATAACTGCCAGTGTTTCAGGCTGAGGTGGTCCTGTCACACTCCCGAAAAACTGATCTGGAAAATTCCGATTTAAGTCAACGTTGTTAGCATTACTACGCCCAATGATCCAATCCTTGCGATTATTCCCCTCAGCGGCGAGTTCATATCCGTCAGGATTCATACTTGGCATGAGATGAATGCGGGTGGTGTCTAACATCTTAGTAAGGTTTGTATCTCGGCCGTAATTTTCACAGAACTCCTTTGCAAGATGCAGGAGCAGTTCTCGACCGACTGCTTCGTTGCCGTGCATGTTAGCGACGTACTTGAACTCCGGTTCACCAGCCTCATGTTTTCCAGGATTGTCGGATATTTCTATGACCCACATCTTTCGACCCTGTACAGATTTTCCAATGCTGTACAAGCGAGTGATTTTGGGATACTGTCTGTGGAGGCCTTGAAGATATCCAGTCATTTGCATATAGTTATGGTACGTCCAATCCTCCTCACCTAAAGAGCGTCTACTGCTTTTTGGGCGAGAGGAGACTAGAAACACCCGTAAGAATATGAAAATCACCACCAGGACAGGCGATAATCGGCCCATTGTCCACTAAATTAACTTTACGAGGTACCTGCACACGCTTTCACTGTCTGCTGAGGGGTTCATCCAAGATATCAAACAATGTTTAGTTCTTTCTACTCGAAAAGCCTCTTAACCTCAACCTACGACAGCCTCTGTCACGTCATGTTTCGAGTTTCCTTCTCCTGTATTGCAGCTGATGAACAGAACCTCAAAAGTGGAAATGATTCAAGGACAAGTCCACTCCTGATTGGCTGGTACCGTGGGAAAGACACCGGTATTGTTTACTTGCCACTTTACAGCGATTGAGTGTTCCAACCAAAATAAACAGGTTGGCTGAATAAAGATGTGACTAAAACCATTACCCCTCGCCCTCTTGAACAACTTGTGATAATTGGTTTCCTTTTGACAAGACAAATCTGACCATCATCTCCCAAGATTGTAATGGGTTATTTTGAGCCACCGACATTTGAGCGTTTTGAGCTTTTTAACTGCTTTAGATTCGTGACACTGTAAAGATTATAAAGTAAGTATTGCTGAAATTTAAATTTTGTATTCAGTTCTCAAACGAATCATCTTTCTCTGGCCCTCGCAAAAAAAATCATTTCTCAGTATGACGAGGAGGCTGATATTTTCATAGTGTATTCTTTAAAAGATTTTGTTCAGAAGACAAACCTCTCTTCTCTTAAATGTACCACCTTTCGCACACTTTTAGCCTCGACTATTTATTAACATTCAGAATCTGATCCCATGAACGTCAAGTTCACCCAGCTAGTAGACATATGATGAGGAAAAACATTTTCACTTCCTTTAAGTACAAATGCATTGATCAAATTAGCTAAAGCACAACGATGGAACTGCCACCAGACACAGGTTGGAACAGCGGCCAACATGGCCGCCATTTCACTGTTTTTGAACATCAATAATGACCTTGAGAACTGAGGACGGCGACGGCAGCGAAAACGTCTCTGAAAAAGTGAATTCGCGTTCTTTTAATCTTCATTGCAATTACTCCAAGTCACTAACTTTGTCAAATGTAGGTGAACCCTCCTAACATTGAATTCCTAAGAACCAAATCCACTGAGTTCAGAAATCTTCCTCTGTAAAGCTTGAAACTACATGAAATTAGGATCTTCACGTCGTTTTCACGTCGCAGTCCTGCAGTGACGGCAAAGAAATGTACAAAAAAGTGTGATGCACGTGAAATATTGTTCTTTTTGGTTATTAAACCTATTGCTTTTTTGACGTCCTCGTTTCCGTCGCTGTCGTCGGATTTTAAGGTCCCTATTATCAATGGCTACTGTGCCGTCATGTGAAAACCCTATACTAATTTTTGACAAGTGCTTCGGCTATAGCCTAGACTACGAGTAGTCCCCCATTTTTACTCAGGGATAGTAGAGCGAGCAAACGCGAGCGCGCGTTAAAATCAACCCACGCGAGAAAGCTATAGCCTGAATTTCATCCGATTACTTCGAGTTGCGAAGCAATCGGATGAAACTCAGACTACTCTGGCTAGCCAAAATAGCCTTCTTCAGGTGTAAAAATATGTTTCTAAACAGGACAATAAAACTTCAAAGTCATTTATTAAAGTGAAGAATGCCGAAATATACAAGTGCGGTGTGACGTTTCAAATGAAAGTAATACCAAGGGCCATTATACAATACAATAAGACTCGCCGAAAGGCCAGGCGACTTCACTGGGCTGCCATAAAACCTGGACTATACAGAAATATTGTACTACATGAAAATGACAAGTTAACCAGAACAGACAGCGACCATCTTATAAAAGGAAACAACCCACCCAACCCATCCCGATCCTTATTCAACCGAGACTATAAATAGATGATCATAGATAATCTATATTTTATGGTCGACAAAAATATTCATACGTTTAAAGATTCTTTCCTATTTTCTTGTTATCTTGCTTCAACTTATTAAACAACGAATTTGTCTCTTTGCATTTTGCGAACTCGAAAAGTTTAAAGATTACTCACAGCCTTAAAAAAATGTAAATAGGTCAAACAGTCGCTGAAGACAGTTTTTTTTACCGTAATGTGAGTCTGGGTAATAGTGCTGATGACACGAACCTAAATTGTTTTTTGTTCAAGCGATTCATCTCGAAGCTCAATAATTGACCTTTATATAGTTTAAACCTTACATATACTTTACCTCCTCACATTTACAGTGTACGTATTCAGAACACGTTATTCAATAAAATTAAGGGGTTGTGTACTTATCTCGTGTGTGGGTCTATGTGAGGTAATCTATTTATAGTCTTTATATAGGTTTTTTAAAGTTCCCATTCTCGATGGCTTTTAGTTTCCACCCCAATGAAAGGATATGTATGTTATGCACCTATCAATGTAAACCCCGTGGGGGGGGGGGGGGGGGGGGGGCAAGGGGGGGGGGTTTTAAAAAATTTAAAATTTTTTAGTCAAAATTCCCAGGGGGGGAAAAGAAAAGTAAAACAAAAAGTTAAAAAAAACCCCCCCCCCCAGGGAAAAAATTCAAAAAAACAAAAGTAATAAACCAAAAAAAAACAAAAAAAAAAACATTCAAAGTTTCA